TACAAGAAGCTGTGAACTCTGAACTTTTAGACGTGAACTTGAAGGTTGAAAAGGACACTACTTGTGAGTCTGGTGGAATTAAAGAGCAGCTTAAGACTGGGCTGAGAGTCTTTTCAAATTTAGGAGTTAATGAAACAATGAATCCACTTTTGTCACCAGGGAAATAGTTCTAATGTGTAGTTCCCTAGGAGTTTTTCTAAGACCTGAAAAAGAAACTGTAACATCAAATTAACTTCAAATCCTATACAACACATTGCTCAGCGTAGTCCTCTCTCATATTTGGAGTTGCTTCATTTACAGTGGACCCCCTTAAGTGTCAACACCCTCAGTGGACAGCCTGTTGCGGAGGGTGGTGGCAAACTGTATATATGACACTATGATTTTTTCCTATCCATACACATCCATGATATAGTTTAATTATTATTTTGAATGGGATTTATTTTTCCCCCAGATTTTATTAACTTGTAAAAAATATCATTTGCCTAACTATATATAATTTGGGGAATGATGTCACACCTCCATATGTGCGTATGCTTCGTTCATCCTCCACCAGACTCCCATGCTGATAACCAATTTTAATTTTTGTATGAGGCACATAAGACATTCGCAATAACATAATAAAATAGAACAATTGTAACAATACACTGTAATAACAGTTATGTGACTGTAACCTCTCTCAACGTCTTATTGTACCAGTATCTTTGGACTGCAGTGGATGCAGTTAACTGAAAGCAAAAGTGTGGCTGAATAATGGGGGACTTACATGGCTCAGAAAACAACTATTCTTCTGAGGTTAAATTCTTCAGTGTTGCAGCTGAGAGGTCAGAAAACATTTTCGCAATAACGTACTTTGCAAGAATTTTATTTTGAACTTCCGCTCTGACAGCCACAAACTCAAAACGGGATGCTTGGCATATTTGCTATTTCAGCTGTGACTGTGACTTATTCTTTCCCCCAGCTTAAGTGGAAACAGAGAAATCCAACAAGGTTTGTAAATATATTACTTCTGAGGCTTATTTTTCATTTTTGCAATTAATTGTATGTGGTATTCCCTTCATTCATTCACCCAGATTCATTTACTCAACAAATATCTATTAAGTGCCACCCCTTGTTCTGGGAGCTATATTAATCAGCGAGAAGAATTCCACAAGAAGGAAATCACACTCATAGGATAATTTTTTTGTGGGCTACTTTTGCCCATTGGTGACCTGAAAAGTTTATTCAGAGAGATGACAACCTCTAAGATAAGACCTAGGCAATAATAAAAAGCCAAACCTGCAAAGCCAAGGGGGATACAGAATTCAGGCAGAGAGAAGAGCTAGTGCAAAGGTAAACCAGGAGCATGCTGGACCTGCTTCAGGAACCAAAAAAAGGCCAGGAAGTTGCAATCTTCAAGATTAAGTTAGAAAGTCAGTAAAGACTGGTGTGTAGGACTTTGCAGAGCGAGTTTGGATTTTATTCTAAGTACAAGGGGAAGCACTGAAGTATTTTGAGCAGGGGAGTGACATAATCTGATATACATTTTAAGGCACGCCAAGTGAGCGTCTGCAGTCACAAAGCTGGACGCGGCAGTGAAAGCACACAAACCCCGCTCTGGGTCACGTTTTAAATCATGACCACTGACCTCAAGTGGCAATCACACGAGTCCCTGATCCATTACCTGCCTCTGTTCTAGACAACTGCTAATATCACCTTTTTTGCTTGAAAACCTTCCCACCTCCTCGCTCCTGCTGACTGTCTGGATTCTGACTTCTGTGAGAAGGGGCACTTCTGCAACCTTCCCCATAACCCAACACATCAGTATTTGTATTCAAATACACAGTCACCCTTCTGGGTCCAGTTAACTCCATCATTCCTTTGTGAGACCGACCACTTTGCATTCTCCTCTTCAGGACATTCTCCAGCTCTCCCCACTCACTCCTATATCATCCATATTTTACCTCTACTGGTTTTCTTTTTTTTTTTTTAAGGTAATTTCTAGGGTTTTTTTTTTTTTAAGATTTATTTATTTATACATATAAGAACTGGGATACAGGTCAGAGGGGCTGTGAGAGGAATCACCAGAGACAGAGTGGGGAACAGAACAGGCAGATTGACTGAAATACACTGCTGAGGGGAGCAGTGGGTGAGTCAGGAGAGGTCTGCTGTGCCATGTGGGAAGCTCCCTGGCTGGGGATTGATCTTGTGCTGCAGTGGCTGCGGATAGCTTCATAGGTTGCGTCTTAACCCCTTGTGCCACCAGGGAGGCCCTGTACTTGTTTTCTACTTCTCATAAGCATAGAAACCTTCTGTGTGATTTTTCCTCCCATCTTAACAAAAACCAAAGAGGTCTTTGAGCCCATTTTTCCTCTCTAGTTTTTGCTGTTACCAGGTACGGCAAAGTTCTCCTTAATAGTGGGCAGTATTCACTGTCCTCACTGCCTCTTCTCGTCCTCTCGTGGGCCTGTTCCAATGAGACTTTTGTGGCCACTACTCTGAAATTGTTCTCCTTAACATCCCTCCATGTTGCAAAACCCACTGTTCAGTTCCCATCTCTCATCTTAGTGGCTATTTTGGTGACTATCCCCGCACATAGCTGAGGTGAGCATGCGCCCTTCTTCCAGAAATAGTCACTCCACTGTCCTCCTATATCCACCTCCTGGTTGTCTCTTACCCTACTGGCCACCCCTCCTCAGCCTGCCCCAGGGCATTCTCCGACCACTCCTCTATCACACGCGCTGGCTCCTTGAGTTCAAAGCTCTGGCGTTTATGACGTGTATGTTGCCAGTGAGTCTCCAATTTACATCTCCAGCTTTAATGTCTCCTAAGTATAAAGCTTGTCTACTTAAGCTTGCTTTACATCGTATTTCAAATGTCTAACAAGTATCTCCGACTCACCGTGTTCTAAGTTGAACCCCAGTGACTGCCAAGCCTACTCCAGTCAGTCTTGGCCACCTCAGTTGATAGTACTTTATACTCTTTGCTCTGGCCACAGCCTTTTCTGACTCTTTCTCACACCCCACATTCAGTCTATCAGGAAATTGTGTTGGTTCCTATTTTAAAATATATCTAGAGCCTGACCACGCCTCCACAGCCCCCGATCCGAGGTGCCATCATCTCCTGTATTACTGTGATAGTTTGCTCCGTTTCCACCCTCATTCCTCTCATCTGTTCCCAACACAGCAACCAGGATCCCTTCTGAGTAAAAGCCTTCCAGAGGTCTGCAAGGTCCTACATGCCTTACTCTTCTCCATCTTTTAGCAGTCACATTTGGCTTCTGTGTTGTATCTCAGACATACCAGAAACACTCAAGAAATCAGGGCCTTGGCACTTGTTTCCCTGCTCTAGAATTCTCTTTCTCTAGATATCCATCTGTCTCACCGCTTTACCTTTTTCGGATTTTTCCTGTCACCTATTTAGATTACAATTATGACAAACTTTTCATCCATCGTCCTACCTTAGTTTTTACTAAAGCTGATATTTGCTATATTTTGCCTGATTCTCGCTTCACTACATTTAATAAGCTCATGGAGGGTAGGGAATTTTGTGTTTTGCTCACTGCTGTTTCTCAGCACCTGAAACAATGGCTTGGCACCTAACTGAAATTCATTGCGGAAAGAATGGACAGGAAAGTAAGACAACGAAGTCAGTCAGGATGACACGAACATTCAGTTCCAGAACTTAGATGGTGAGTAAAGGGCGCCTGAGACTAGGTCTCCTGGTGGGGAGGTAAGTTTTAGGTTTATGAATTTTGAGATGCCCATTAGACATTAGGTAGATGGCTAAGTCTAAAATTTTGGAGACATGCAGGGTTAGGGTCAGATTTGGGGGGTTATCCACTTCCAAGTGGTATAAGTCCATGGAACCAGATAAAATCATCTGATCAGAATAGAGAGAAAGGAATGAGGCCCAAAACAAAGCACTTGCTTCAGGGTTAAGCAGAGGAGAGTATCAGTAAGGGCTAAAAGAAGCCAACATGAGGAAAGCCATGGGGATAAGGTATTGCTGAAGCCCGTAGAATGCTCTAGGGAGGGAAGACTAGCTGGTGTTGAATGCTGCTGCAAGCCGGAGCACGAAGGAGAGGTGACCACTGGTTCACTGGAGTGAGAGGGCAAAGCTGACGCAAGAGTGGAAGGTCATGAGGACACGGGCTAGTCTACTCTTTTCAGGGGAGGAAACAGGATGCTCATATCTAGACTCTATTACCTACCAATTGCTGCTCCACTCACAGTTGCCTACTCACCCTTTGATCACTCTGAAACTACAGACCACTTCTTCATGTACCTGCATGTCAACAAATCTTAGGCCATTCCAGGACCTGGAATCTCATGAGTATCCATCAGCATGTCTTTTCTTATGCTGTTGAAATCACACTTTTACTGCTTAAAACTTATGCTTATCCTTGTTTCCTCTATTAAAATATAAGCTTCTGAAAGCAGGTGATTTTAATCTGCTCTCTCCTCAGCTCCTACCATAGAACCAGGCCTATTATGGCTACTGGAGTAACTGACTAAATTATAGGAAGATATATTTGAAAGAGGATGGAGGTTTAAAGGTGGTCTTTTTTTAAAAATGTAAAATACTTGAACATTATCCTTATGTTGATGGAAACGATCCTGTAGCAAATAATTTGTTAATGCAGAAGTGAGGGGATAATGCAAGACAGAATATATGCATAAAAATATAGGCATGTTGGTAGTTTGAGAACTGGAAAAAATATGAGAGGATCTGGGATGATACCTTCATTAGTCTATATAATAAATATCCTTGGAATCTTTCCCTGAAGTCAGGAATGCTATGATTTTGTTCTGAGAAGACACCCACCTTACTCTTTGCATGAAACTGACAAAAGTTATGTGGTATTCTGAATTTCATCACACACTAAAGCTCTGCAATAAAAATTTCTTAGGTGCATAGCTAAAAACTTAGAGCCCCGGGGTGATTTTTAAAACATTAGCCTGCATATTTTAAGTACTGTAAACTAAGAATGACATTTTCATTAGTGCCTCCTTCTCTTTCAGGAACTATGTGAAAAACAACATTTGCTTTATGAGTCATCACCAAGAGGAATTAGTGCCAAAACAACTTCAAAAAAGAAATCCCCAAGAGCAGCTCTTGGAGTGTAAAAAGCTATGTGGTAGGGGACAGCCGAGGCCGCTTTCTCCAGAGACTTAATGGCATTGAAATCTTATAAATTTTGATTCATAAGAACCCTCAAAGTAGGGTGTCTTTGTACCAATACACACGTGCCACTCGCTTCCATGCCTTCTCTTCAGTGTCAGGGGCTAGTGTTGAAAGGACACCCTGAAATGGTAGACACCCTTTCATCTCCAACTATCCAAAAGGAACTTCAAAAAGTAAATGAGGTATAGGTTCCCAAGTGATCTTTTTCTGAGCACAGTATCAGGTTAAAAAAATACTGGCTGGTTCAGTACTTCCCACCCATGGCACAGAGCAGCAGCCTTTGAAAAACTCAGAGCTAGTGATGCAATCAATTTCTGCCTTAATGTACATGTGACAGCCCACTGGGGTACTAGGTGCTTCGAGTCTTGTGTAACAAGGAAACAGGGCACAATGTGGACAACTGCACACATGTTCTAGGTTAGGATAGGGTCCTCGCTAGGATTCCAGTGATGATTCTGAATTACAATTCAACATGTACAAAGACAATACAGCTTATTTTATGGATGAACTACAATACAAAATTTCCTACTTTTATGAATTTCATGTAGAAATATAGTATTAAAAGTTTTGTAATAGTTGAGAAAAGTAAGCATTTTCTATCCATTAAAAAGTGTGAATAGAAAGGCCAACTAAAAAATGCTGGGGCTGTATTTATTTAGCAGTCATTATAAAACACTTGGAAAGGAGTGAGGCCAGTAGATTATCCAAATTTCTAAGCAATCAAGTTGGACTTATTAAATCAAGCTTATGAAAATCCTCTCCTTACAAGGCAAGGCTTTCATAACTTAACAGCAATCCATAGTTTTCTGTAATTTTTCATACTCCTCAGGAATATCACTACCTCAGACTATGACACACAGGCTGTAACATGTTAACTGTCAGAAGACTATGTACAGGCTAACGACATCCAGCCATCAGAATTCCCTCACTGTGCTTTCCTCTATGATGAAAGAGATGGCCAACTGTACCAGAAACTTGGGTTTTCATCCACAACAACGGATTTCTCTTTTCTGTATTTCTCCAGGTAAATTTTAGGACTTGGTGAGGCATTTTACTAACAGAATTTGGATATGCTAGAAAAATCTACAATAAAGAGTATCAAGCCACTGAATAGCAGTTCCTTAAATTATTTTGAATTAGGGAGACATACATAAAACTAAGAAAGCTTGAACAACCTACTTGAAAAAGAAACTTTAAAAGTATGATTTACCCTGAAGAAAAGAAAATTCTAAGTGGCCAAAACCTTTCTATTTGGCTTGGAATTTTCCTACTGGCCCCTAACAGACTGTTCCAATTTGATATGTAGGCATATGACTTACCACATTTCCCTTGTAACAAAGTAGATAGATTATAAATTTATGTAAGCACCAGAACAAGTGTATTATCAGAGACTCAGGAGAAATTACTGGTCCTGAAATTACTGTCCAAATTAAAATTGTTGAGGGATGTTAGGAGATCTTAATTGTATAACAGTACATTTAATATGCAAGTTAGAGCATGCACTGTTTTTCAATCGTTTTTTTTTTTAGAAGAATGTGTTTTGTAGAGGATCAATTTATGAAATTTATTATGAATCTTCAGTGGAATAACATGCTAAGATTAAAATAGAAAAATCAAGACATGTAATTGAAATTTTTTTCTTTGCCACAGATTAGCTTTATGTATCTTTTGAAATCCAAACACTATATTCTTTAAGCTTTATCATCCTCATTTAGCCAGTTACTGTTAAAGGGCAGGAGACCATTTATAAACCTAGTAGGTTTATCACTAGCAATTTCAACTTTAGTATATCAAATACACTTTTATTTTTATTATTCAGAGTCTGTAAACAATTCTGTCTTTAATTTTTACCCAATATGCCCCCAGAGCTTTTTGCTTTTCAAAAATAAAAAAAGGGGGGAAACTTGTCACTTGTATGTATATGTTCACAATTTTTATTTATAAAAAAATTTACAGCACTTGTGAAAAGCCAGTAGAAGACACCAGACACACTCATATCTTACCAGTTTTGTTAAAAGTTTAGTGGGCGAGCCATAACACTATCCAGGTGATGCTCATGAAGCAGCCCTGAAACCAGACCTGGTCAGATTGTCTTATTCTTCCTCTTTTCTGAGAAAGCGTTTGATAAGCTACTGTTCTAACCAGTTTCAAGTCACTCCAATACTGAAAATATTACAATATCTAGTTTTGCACATGCCATATAACCATGTTTTTCCCTTTTTTTTGGGTGAACACTGCAAAACAGGAGGTCACTAATTAATTAATTAAAACTTAAGTGGAAAATCTCAAATGGCCCAGAGTCACTGAATTTTATTCTCTATATTTTATGAGGTTACCAATTCTACTGGGTTTTAAAATGAAGCAAATAAAATACAAATGTTAAAAAAAAAAGTCTGAATATCACAATTAAGTCTTTCACAAGAAAGAAAATATAAAAGTTAGTCTTTGCCCCCATTTATGAGGGGATGAGAGGCAGGATAGGGGAAGGCATTATGATAAAAATAAACAAAATCATATGTATTGTTAAGTGCAGTGCTTAAACTAGGTTTTCAAGATTTTTATAATATGGGAAGGAAAATACTAGAATATGGAGGTTAAGGTGTTGCAATTTTTCTCAAAGGCTTCAACACATTTTGAAAATTCAGGTTTTAGTGGAAGATCATGTTGGAACACTGTCTCTATTACGTTTCTGTCGAGGGGCTAATCCAACTCACCACATAGCATTATTTCGCAGCAAAAATCGTGGGTTATACCAAACCCTTAAATACAAGTGGCAGAGCACAGCTGCACCTTAACCCTGCATCACCACTCTAGGGCTGGTAGGTGAGCTGGTCATTGTTCCACAAATGCGTATTTATTATAAATTTCAGAGTAGCACTCCCAGATACTGAATGGTCACTCTTCAGCTACATTAAGACACAGCAAGGGGAAAAAATATCTTGCAAAATGGCTTTCAAGTTCAAGTTGAACTATATAATAATTATAACTGTGGCACAGAGGCAGCTTGTGGGCACTTCTTGTTAAAACAGCACAATGTATCAACTTCTGACAAGACTCTTAGCTTAGCCTTGAGCACCAACCTAAGGTTATTACTCTCCTATGTCTAGAGTAGTCTTTCCAAGAATATCAGAGGTACATATGAGGTACAACTCATCACAGATTCTTTCTCATATCCACTTGTCCATAAGAGGTTTCTCTTTTTAAAACTACAGTTTTGTAACTTTTAAAAGATACTCAGCATGTTCTATCACATTAAATTAGCAACATAAAACATTATGCTTAATCTATAAAGTTCTACTCCGGTTTCCTATAATTTATATACATTTTTTTGTTTCTAATCTGCAAGGAAAAAATCCTATTTAATATTTGGTAACACAGCGTTAAAAGATAGTATACACATGTGACATAATATATTTACAAAATACACTTCAAAAAAAGAACCCCACAAGATTCAGCAAAAGTCTAAGCTTGCATAGATTAAAAAAAAAAAAGAATGAATACAATTCTTGTTAATAGAAAATGGGGAATAAAAGTTATAGAATGGATATGAAGAGAGATCTTTTCCAAACTTTTATTTGTGCACATTCAATTGAAAAAGATAACTTTTACAGGTTCTTTGGTGCCCATATTTAGCATACAAAAATGTAAAAGACTATTCACAAATAAAACACATTAGCTCAAACTGGAAAAAAATAACAACAAAACAATTCAAGGTAGTGCACACTGACAGCTCTGCTTATCGGGACATGAGAATTACTGCGTAAATAAATAGAATGTCCTTTTGTAAAAGCAGCAATGTCATGTCTTGTAAACTTCCTTTTTATATTACAGCAAGGTTTGAAATAAAATCCAAAGGGACTGGAGCTTACACTGTAGCCGTGAATGAATAAAAGAGTCTATTTCCTCAATTACCGTTGGTCCAGTTTTCCTTTTGAGTCCAATGTGCAGCAGGTTTTAAAAGGTGCTCAGTTAAGATTTCTGACCAAATAAGATATGAATTATAAAATTTCCTTCCTGCTTTCAAACACAAATGGGTAAATCTGTTCCACAGCAGTAGCAACAGCCTTTACATTGGGACCTGCGACAAACACAACAGAGGATGAGGTGAGAAGAGGTAAAGAGAACACCAGGAAAAGGCAATTTCCCAGGATTAAACATATTCAAGTCATTTAGAATATCAGGTATTTTTTTTTAAACTTATTTGAGTATTTTGCTCATGTAAAACTCTTATGAGAATAAAAAAAAAAAGTTTCCCTCAAGTATTTTAAATTCAAGATACCGTGAATAAAAAAATGATACTATGACAATATATAGGACACTCTTAGCAGCTCCAAACTGGAAACTATCCAAAGGCCTATGGACAGTGTGTTCACATGCTGGATACTAAACCACAAGAATGAATAGCCTACAACTACATGGAACAGCAGGAATGAATGTCACTAAGATAATGATGAGTAAAAGAAGACAGATACAAAATAGTACATATAAGATGTAAAAACAGAATATAAAATCAGGTAAACTAATCTACAGTGTTAACTCAGGAGAATGGCTCCCCTGGAAGGGGAGAAGTGACTGAAAGGGGTAAATCAAACATTATCTCTATTTGGAATGGTGACCTCTCATCTCATTATATCAATAAATGACAAGTTGATTTCAATATCACAAAATACCTGTTACTGTGATACTTCCTGTTGAAAAAATCTGTAACGTGGCTCTTAGAGATTTTATTCGATAGCACACAGCAGGATGAAGTTCAGGTTCATAACTACATACAAAAAATTCACAATTAATATAAATACATTGTCAGACAAATAACGTGAAATTTGATGTTATCTTGATTCCTCAAAGACCCACCTGGCATGAGGTCTATTATTCTTTGTGAATTCTGGCAAACGGATTTCAAATGGCATGTTACACACTGCCAAAACATTAACCACCTTAAAATCTGTAAATATTACCTTCGGGAGAGAAGTAAAACCCAATGAATTATTTTGAAACAAAAAAGTCTGCTCATTAGACAACATGTAATAATTTTTAATCTTTAAACAGAAACATCTTAACCATGGATGACTTTGTATTTTAAGTTATGAGTCACTCTTTAATCCTATAAATAAAGGGGAGAAAAGCTCAAGACAGGATTTTAAAAAACTTGAGGTATGTACATAATTAAAATAATACATATGAAGTCTTTTGAATCCCATGTTTAGTTTTTCAATACTTTAAATGGAATAATTAATCTACTGGGATAGATGAGAGAGCACAGGGGAAGAAAATTAAAGCATAGTCCTCTTTCACAAAAGTCAAAATGGAAAAGTTGTTACTTAAAAGTTAATAAATTGGGCCTTCCCTGGTGGCGTGGCGGTTGAGGTCTGGTGGCCCGCAGACCTCTCCTGCCGCCCGCTGCTCCCCTCAGCAGTGTACTTCGTCACTCTGTTCTGCTCTCCGCTCTGGCTCTGGTGAATCCTCTCACCCTCCCGCACTTCTGACTGTACCCAGTGCGTGTATAAATAAATAAATCTTTTAAAAAAAAAAAAAAAAAGAAAAAAGCTAATGTTTTTTTAAAAAAAAGTTCATAAATTAGTGAGCATGTACTGCGCTCCAAAAGTCAGGCTGTTTTTTTTTTGTTGTTGTTGTTGTTTTTAAATTAAAGATTTATTTTTTAAATTTATACAAGAGCTGGAGTACAGGCCAGAGTCGTGGGAGGGTGAGAGGATTCACCAGAGACAGAGTGGGGAGCATGACAGGCAGACGGACTGAAGGCCCTGCTGAGGGGAGCAGCAGGGGAGATAGGAGAGGTCGGCCTCACTATGTGGGATTCTCCCTGGCCAGCCAGGAATCAAAATGGTGCTGCGGAGGCTGTGGACAGCTTCACAGCATGGAGCTCAACCCGCTGCACCACTGGGGAGGCCCAGTAAGGCTGTTTTTTATATGCAACAGGGTAAATGACAGTTCTGTGAGTTAAGTTAAATGCTTTCTTTTGGGAATAGAGTGATAAAGTTGTGCTTTTGACTACCTGGGATTTTCCTCAACATTTCTAATGTTATGGTAAGAAAAAGAGGCTCCAAGGCTAAAAATAATGTTCTTTCACTAATGTCAACTTCTGCTGTCAATATCTTGAATGATTTTAGTTCAAATAAAGACATCTTTAAGTCTTTTGAAAAGCCCTTAGTAAAGCCACAATTCTGGATGAATGAACTATTCTCCAACTCAGTATTTGCTTAAGGCAGCAGTTGCAGAAAGTCTAAAATTGGGTAAGGTGGCAGCACCATCCATTATGGCTCCCAATACAGTCACTCTGCCCAAGCAGGAACACCCCCGTCTCCCCTGCAGTACTTCAGTGCCTTCCTATCACTTACACCACAGAGGAGACTGAATCTTCAGATAGAAACTCAATTTCTCACCACTTCTCACCCAAATCCCAAATAAGATAGGTCTGTCTCTTCAGGGACCATAGTTCATCTTTATTTTTCTTTCATTTACTCATTATTTACAAGTGACTGTAAGTCCAGACTACCTATTAATTTTATTCAACTCCACAAAATTAGGTTTACCTGCCAGCAATGGTCACCTTACAAGAGCCAGACTGTAAGTTAAGAGGGTACTGCAGCTCTCTACATACCACCCTGAAGGTTACTCTTGAAGTGAGCAAAACACAATCTGTGCGTGAGAAGTAATGAAATTAAAGGAATTGGAAAGGAAGTTTTAATTTGTAAGGGAACAAGTCTATCTCTCTATGGGAAGGAATTTGGAGAAAAAAAAATAAAGCCCAGACACTTGACAAAGACCCTGTGGGCAAGTTTTACCACCAAATTAGGTACTGAAGGACAATACAAAAAAAATCAAGAAAAAGTCAATCATGCGGAGTTTCTGTGATGATTTCATTAGTTTGCTAGAGTAAAAACTTTAACTTTACAAAATAAATCCTTGAATATTTGCACATTGGATTTTTTTTTTTTTTTGAAAACATTACCTGAAAACCTAGTTTCTGTAGACTTCGGGCTAAACGTCTGGCACCAAATTTAGCTTCTTCTTCACTATGATTTTCGGGAAAGAAAAAAATTGTCAGGAAATAGATTTTTGTACTGAGGAACAAGACAAACTGTATATTTGGTTTTGTTTTTAAGTCTAGGAAAATGTTTCCACTAGAGGAAAATTAAATAAAAATTAAAAACCCAAGTAACATTTACCTTGTTGCTCCAGTGCAAATAATTTTTCCTGAGGACCAAATTGTAGCTGTAATTCTAGGTTTTCTAAGCTTCATTAATACTTTCTACAAAACAAAAACCAGAAAAAGGCTGATTATATAAGTGTTTCCAGATATGGTTCTGCTCTACATAAGTCATTTTATACTTAAATACTATTCCATGCTTACTCAAAATTGAAATAAACTGTTCTCCAAATCATACATTCTGAAATCAAGGACCATACTTACCACAAAGAACATATTAATACAAAAAGATTTTTAATTGAAACTAGAAGGTCTATATAAATCTGTCACTATTTTTGTGAATTCAATGTACTACAAGTATGTAAACTTTTAAAACTCTTACTCTGCTGTGGTCCCCCAACTGGACTTTGTCATTTGCAAAGATCCTCAAATAGCCTCAACTGTTCACACCTCAAGAGCTTCACAGTGGCTGTTACTTTCATCTGAAATATCTTTCCCACAGTTTTTTTATTCATTCCAGCCTCTCACCACATGTCACCTCCACACAGGTCTTTTCTGATCATTCCACCAAAACCCTCTTCCCTCTTCTCTCAGCTCTCCTTTATTGTGCTTTACAATTTCATCACTACTTTATACTGCAACCTATAGTTGAGATGCCTATTACATATTCAAGTTCAATATGCAAATCTTGAATGCAAAGTTAATGGAGCTGGAGGTACAATTGCTTAGACATGAAAATGCATTTAAAGCTAAGGGTTTTTGCATGAAATTACTTACAGGGTAAGTATAAACAGGTCAAGGGCCAAGATTTAAGTTACTGTGAATTTAAATTTTCATCGCAACTTTTTTTTTTAAAAAAAGATTTATTTATTTATTTATTTATTTATTTATTTATTGAATAGCTGGGGTACAGGTCCAGGTGCGGGAGGGTGAGACAATTCACCAGAGACAGAGTGGGGTGCAGAACGGGCAGAGAGACCAAAAGCACTGCTGAGGGGTGCAGTGGGCGCAGCAGGAGAGGTCTGCTGCGCCATGTGGGACTCTCCCTGGCTGGCTGGGAATTGAACATGCGCTGCAGAGGCTGCGGACAGCTTCACAGCACTGTGCTCAACGTGCTGCGCCACCAGGGAGGCCCTGCAACTTTTCATTTATGGAAATTTTCATTAGATACCTATTTATATATAAGAAAGATAAATGTTTGCTGAGTAATGTAAAACAAATGAATCATACATTTCTCCTTAAAACTTTTGTTACATTTTTTAACTACTCCCTTTCTATCATTTGCCATATTATCAAAGTAGAGAAAGCTAGTTTGGGAAGACAAAATTTACCAAAGATCCAAAACAAAATTTCAGTTAAAATAAATACATGATAAAATGTGATGTACACATGGCTGAGAAACTACTGAACTGAGTTTATTCTATACTTGTTTTTTATCAACAGCTTGACTATCCATTCAGCTTTTTCAATTTTTCAACACAAACAAACTTCTCTGTCATATGGCAATGTTAAAGTTCCAAAGCAACATTAGGCATTTTCCCCTCTTAAAACTTTTTAGCAAACATATTTAAAGTAGTTGATCATTACTGATCATTATTGATAATTACTGATCAATTAAAAAATCCTTAATTTCAGGTCAATGAAATCTTTCATTGAATTTAATTCACCTTTACTTAGTTTTAGTACTAAAACTTAATAATTTTACTTAGGAATACTGGCATCTGATTTTTAGAGCTTAAAAGAGACTTCCTATATTCTTAATTTTCATGATAAATGTATATACCTAATCATTCTTTGGTTTACAAAAACCAAATGAACACCTATTGTCATTTATAATGTTAATCTCAAATACTAAGCAAGTTATCATCTTTTATTGTATTACAGGTTTAACAAAAACTAAAATTTAAAATGTCCAGGTTAGCGGATGGTCTCACTCATAGCAGGAATTTAGAAAACCTAAATAAGAGACCAGGAAAAAGACTAATTGCAATAAAGTAAAAATCAAAATCAATAAGCAACTATAGCAGAGACACACTACAGTGGGAGTTGGGGGGAGGAGAAGAGGGATTAGAGTCAGAAAAAGGGGTGGGAATTTTATCGGGAATATAACCAAAATGAAAATGCATACATTATGCAAAATGAAAATGATGTAAGAATTATATAAAATAATCTATTAAAAAAGAAATAAAAAAATGTCCAGGTTAGGATATGAGTCATGTTATTTTCAGCAATTTGTTAGTGAAGAAAACCAACTATCTCAGCTAATTCAAGAGAAGCATGGCAAGACACTACAAAATTTCCTATGTAACTATAACTATATTGAAATATACTGAATAACTAAACATGGAAGTATAAAAGTCCCCCTCACCAGTTCAAAGAAATTGAGAGAACAATGAAGTGTCTAGCAGTCAGTGAATTCTTTGGTAAGACTTGGAGATAGGTATCTCCAAAAGCTGCTGCTTCATAGGAGGGGTCACTACTTCTAAAGACTCACTGTTGAGTTCAGTACAACTAGCATAGGGTAAGGTATGCATAATCTGCAGAATGAATACATTTTAGTATAACACTCACAGGACTACAAAATTAGGCTATGTAAGCACACATATTAAAATTCAGATACTCACTCCAACATCACGCTTATAAATTACATTTGCTCCCTCCAAAGCAATCTTCCTTAAGTTCAAATGGCATCTTGTTCTAAAAACACAGACTACATTTGTAATTAGAATGTCCAATGCAACATCACTGTCTGCATCCATTGGGGTAGTTTAAAAACTTAGCTTCCCACCACGAAGATCACATCCTGAGAAATAAAACAAAAAGGAGTAATTAAACTTAAATGTTTTGTTACTTTATTTTCACAAATAAGCTTGAAAGGTAATATGTAAGAAATGAATCTACATTGTTTTCAAACATTACTCAAATCAAATCATGTCTCTCTGTTCCCCACTAAAAATGTCATTTTAAAAAGAATACTGTCTTACAAAATCTTTCCAAATCTGGACCTAACTTTCATTCCTTAAAATTAGTAAGTAGGGCCCTCCTGATGGTGCAAGGGGTTAAGTCGCAGCACCATGAAGCTATCAGCAGCCACTGAAGCATGGCATGATTTCGACCTCCAGCTGGCCACATTGCTAACCCAGAGGGCGCAGCAGACCTCTGTTTTGGCCACTGCTCCCCTCAGCAGTGTATTTCCGTCACTCTGCCTGTGCTGCTCCTCACTCTATCTCTGGTGAATCCTCTCACCACCCCCCCAACACTTCTGGCCTGTACCCCAGTTCTTGTATGCATAAATAAATCTTTAAAAAAATAAAATTAAATTAATAAGTAATGTTTACACACATCAGGAGCTTGCCAGACTTAATCTCTTGCTACTTGCCTTCACAACCACTATGTTCCAGGTTCATCAAAATTAGGGAAATTCTCCAAACACCCTATGTTCAATGGCTGGACTTTGTGGTCCCAATGTCCATCCACTAATGGTATTATATCCACTTTAGACAACTTGTTAGAGCTATGAAAAAAACTATGATAAGAGCACTTCTACAAACAAGCAAAAAAGAAGCCCAAGTTTTTAGTAAGCATGTGCTCCATATCCAGCTAAAATATCTCTTTGGATTTCCACATCTTGAAAAATAATGGTAATTCAGCTTATCTAACACAAAAAGAAAAAAAATCAGAAAACGGTAAACTACTGTACTGATAAGAGTCTTTAAAATCCAAAATAAAATTTCAGCTGAAATAAATACATTATAAAATTTCATGTACATGTGGCTGCGAAACACTGAACTTAGTTTATTCGACACATAATTGTAGACTTAATCTTAAAACAGTGTAGACACTTAGTCTTTTTTTTAAAGATTTATTTATTTATGCATACAAGAACTGGGGTACAAGCCAGAGGTACAGGGGGTGAGAGGATTCACCAGAGACAGAGTGGGGAGCAGAACAGGCAGACTGATTGAAATATACTGCAGAGTGGAGCAGCGGGCGAGACAGGAGAGGTCTGCTGTGCCATCTGGATTAGCTCCCTGGCTGGCTGGGGATCGAACTCGTGCTGCAGAGGCTACAGATAGCTTCATAGTGCTTAACCCCTTGCGCCACCAGGAGGCCCTAGACATTTAATCTTTAAGACTACTTGTAGCCATAATCTGAAAAATATTCTTTTTAAGGGTTCAAATTATTATATAACTAAAACAACAAAGATGCTGAGTCCAAACAAAATATGATAGAACACAATGACAAGTCAGGCCAAGACTTCTAGCCTCTTTACAGATCATACAACATTCAATTCTGTGCCTCAACTGTACTTCATTAATTTTCTCCTCTTATATTTCCATAAACATGCTTATCTTTTTGTTTTTCTGGGTTTGTTTTTTTGTATATGTTTGAGCAGCCTCAAAGAATTTTTGTGTATAATGGATTGGGCAGGAGTGGCAGTGAGGACAACGGACATATATGTACAGAGATTAGTAAGGACTGGCAGTGATATTTAAGCAGCAAGCTCAATGTCTGATTAACCATGTAACTGTTAGGAGAACTCTGGCAAAGTTATGCAGTCTATCTACGCCTTGGTTATTTCATCTATACATGGGATAGATTGTATCTACCAGCATCGTAGATTTATATAAAATGTATAAAAAGTACTTAGCACATATATGTGGGAAATACCACAAAAATGACAGTGGTTATGGATACAGTAAGTTCAAATCAACAGGCAGAGCAGAGATTTCCTAGCATTACTTTCCATGATTATACTATAACCTAGATATTCAGCCATCTGGACACCAGGAGATTCGGCTATATTCTTATAAAAATTATGTGATAACTGTTGTAGACACAGAATCCTAGTTTCTAAACCCACCTTTTCCTCACAATGAACAGAAACCAGATGTATAGTTGGGCACATTGTAGCAGAAATAAAATACTGTACTCCCCCCTTATCTGAGGATGCCAGAAACCACTAGAATACTGAACCCTGTATACGCATACTTGTAATAAAATCCAATTTATAAATTAGGCATAGTAAGAGATTAACAATAATAAAAATAGAACAATACACTGTAATAAAAGTTAAGTTAATGTGGTCTCTCAAAATATCTTGTTGTAAATAATATTCTCAGACCTTGGTAGACTTTGGGTAACTGAAACCATGGAAAGGGACTGTGGGGGGAGGGGTCCTACTGTACTGTATTTTTCATGCTTTTTGGCAATAGATAGTGAAGAAGCCACATGATTCTGTACTAGTCAATGAGATGTAAATTGAAATGGTTTTATGTCTTTTGGGAAGTCTGCTCTGAAGGACTAAAATAAGGCAGTAAAGACCCCTTGTAACTTCCTGCCCTTCTACATTCTTCTACCTGGAGATGGACTTGAGAGCTGGAGCTCAAATAGCCATCTGGGATCACACACGTATGAGGTAAAGATGGTAGAAGAAGAAGACTGAAGAAGCCAGAGTCCCAGATAGTGAGAACTTCCTCACTGTCCTTGTACTTCTTAGTTCCCGATTTTATGAATGTGAGAGAAAAATCAACTTCTATTTTAAGCCCATCATATACTGGAATTTTGTTTTAATTAATCAAACCTAGTGTTAACTAACACACATTCTCTGAGAATGTTCAATTTTAATGCCAGAATATCCAACGTTTCAATCCCAGTCTATATTAAATTTCTCATCTACTTAGAATTCCAAACAATTTCTTTTAGTACCAATCATGGAAAAAACTAAATTTATCAAGCCTGCAACTTTACTCCCAAAGCCACCAATTTTCTTTTTTTTTTTTTAAAGATTTACCTGCAACTTTACTCCCAAAGCCACCTATTTTTTCTTTCTTTTTTTTTTTAAAAGATTTATTTATTTATACAAGTACTGGGAACAGTCAGAAACGCGGGAGGGCGAGATAATTTGCCAGAGACAGAGTGGGGAGCAGAACAGGTAGACTTGATGAAATACACTTCTGAGGGGAGCAGCGGGTGCGGCAGGAGAGGTCTGTCGCGCCATGTGGGACCCTCGCCGGCAGCTGGGGATTGAACTGGCGCTACAGAGGCTGTGGGCAGCTTCGCAGCCCAGTGTTCAACCACTGCGTCACCAGGGGAGGCCCCAAAGCCACCTATTTTCATTTGAATGCAAAAGTATTATTAACAAGAGCCTTTTTCCCTCCCTACAAGCCCCTTACCATAATATTCATGAAGGTGCATACACAGTATACTTTATTATATTTTTTGTTAATATGGAATTATTTTACTGGTTGGCACAGTTGCTAAGAGAATGTATTTAAGCAACTTCACAAGAACACAAAAAACTTGAAAGTGACATTTAAACACAAAAAACTGTTAAGTCTACTAACATTATAGTATAAAATATTTATGATATATGAAGGGGCTAGAAGAACCCCACCTAAGCACCACCCACTTGAACTATAAACATCACAGTACAGTAGATACTACTCCATGTACTTCTCAAAAATCCTGTTCTCTCATCTCTCCCCTCCAAAGCCAGGGAAATCTCTCTGAATTGGTGTTTTATCAATCTCATAATTTCTGTGAAACTAATTACATATATATCACATTCCTAAACCCAACTACATCATGATTTTAAAAAAAAAAAAAAGGGACAATAATGGATTTGGTTTTTTAATATTTCATTTAGGATTAATTCATTTATGTTCATAGATAGACAATCTATACAATCTATAATATTCCTTTCTTGGACTTGAATGCCAAGATTCGTTAGACAAGTTAGTGCAGTTTCTGTCTTTTTTCTTTTAATTCTCTGGAAGACAGTTTATAGCAGACCTCATTTGAAAATTATCTGGACTTGTTTCTTGTTTGGTTGGAGAATTTTAAGACTAATTCAATTGAAGATTTTTGAGGCAACTGATGTCTTCTATTTATTCCTGAATCAGTTTTCCTAAATTAAAATTCCTGGGGGAATTCTCCATTTTTTCCCTAAATTTTGAAATTTACTGGTATACAATTTATCATAGTTTTCTGATACACTTAAAAAATCTTTGCTACAGTATACTTATTTTTTTCATCACATTATCACTTATCCCTGTTTTTTCTCCTATACTTCATCAATCTTACTAGGAGGTTTATCTATTTTGTTAAGGTTCTTAAAAGAACAAACTCTTGGCAGTTATTTGATCCTCTTTATTGTTTTTGGCCAAAATTCATCATTTTCCCTTCTATCGATCATTTTCTTGTATTAGAAAGTTAGATGCTTAATACTTCAGGTTTGAATTTTTTTCACTCCTTACGTGAATATTCAAGATGACTATAACAGCATATTAAAGGTGTCTGAACATGAATTATAAAATATTTTGATTACCCCTTGATTTTACAATATTTAAATTTTCATCATTATTTTTCTTATATTATTTATTTAAAAATTCTTTGCCTTTAGCAATACATGGTTTTTAAGTTCACTTAGTTAACTTGAAAGAATGATATACTATGTATACATATTATACTATGTTAAATACCAAACAATGCTGGTGCAGGTGTGAGTAAACTAGCATTCTCTTAAAATTTGGTACAAAAATTTTCTATAGGAGATAATCTGGCATTGTGTATTCAAATAATTAAAATAATCAACTATATACTGAATTGTAGTCAACTGCTAAGAAAGTATTTCAAGCAATAATTAAAACGAGCAAAGTATAGTTATAGTTAGGATTATATATCACAATTTTGTACTAACAGAAGCTTAGATGTCTATCTAGAAGGTAAACTTAAGTAGAGTATAGCACAATATAACACCATTATGACCGAATATTTTATAAATTACAAAATGACATGGAT